GAGAAACTAAAGCAGATACCTTAAAAACAACTGAGGCCAATAGGAATAGGGGACCAGGAACTAGAGAAAAGGTGAGATCAAAAAGAATTAACCTAGAAGGTAACACCCACGCACAGGAAATCAATGTATCAATGCCCTGTATAGCTATCCTTATCTCAACCAGCAAAAACCCTTGTTCCTTCCTATTATTGCTTATTCTCTCTCTACAACAAAATTAGAGATAAGGGCAAAATAGTTTCTGCTGAGTATTGAGGGGGTGGGGGGAGAGGGAGGGGGTGGAGTGGGTGGTAAGGGAGGGGGTGGGGGCAGGGGGGAGAAATGACCCAAGCCTTGTATGCACATATGAATAATAATAAAAAAAAGTATTGCTTTTTTCCTGCTGTGTTGTACCCTCCTGTGGACAAGGATTTGGTTTTGTTCTCACCTGTGTCCCTGGCTCACAGAACTGTGTCGGGCACATGGCAGGTGCTCAGTAATTATTCTCCTTGGCTTACGAATGCTTCGATGACAGCACTGAGGTGGACAGGCAGCAACGGCTGGTGATCTCCAGGCCTAGAGGGCCTCCTGCCCTCCTGAGAGGCAGTCCCAGCTCAAGTCACAGTCAGATAACTGCTCCTACCCAGGGGCACGTTCTGGAAAAATCTCACCCCAGTCTACCGTCCGCTCCCCCTTACACTGTCACTCAGCTGGAAATAAAATAATAGCACATTAAATCTGTTGGAGAAATAAGGGCCCACCCCACACTGAAAGTCACAGAGGGACCTTGGATTCCTTTCCCTTATTTTCACCCTTGCTAAGCGACCATGTCCTAACTCTAGCTCTAACCAAACACCTGCCTAACAGAAAGTCAAGTACAGACAGGAACCTTCCAGCTCTGCACACCTGACTTGGATAGAAACGACTCCCTTAAGCTTGCCACCTGGTGGCTAGATTTCCGCTCTTGAAGAGACATTTCTGGTGGCCTCTGCTTTGCAAAACTCTTCTGCAGCAGCTAACCCTCAGGGAGCAGGTAAAGGAAACATCAGGCCTGGCTCCGTCAGCAGGGAGCCACTCAGCAAGTTCAAGTCCAGCTTAACTAACGCAAACCACCTGACCCTCCAGCCAGAAGAGGCACCAGGGTGCGTTAGAGCCTCCCTCGGCCTTGGAGAGGACACGGGTCTGCACGTAAACGCGCTCCCCGTGTTATTACCCAGAACGCAGAGCGGAAAGCCGTGTGCACGAGCAGGCACGTGTGTGGCTCCACCGATGGGGAACGTCCATCACGGGCAGAGGCACAGGCACGCTGTAGCTGCCAGGGGCAGGTGTTTCAGGGGTACAGGTTTCCTTTTGGGGTGACAGAAGTGTCTTGGGAACAGAGGTGGTGGTTACACAACGTTGCAGAAGTCCTAGGTGTCACCGAATTGTTCACTTTAAAATGATAAATTTTACCTCATGTGACATGCACCTCACTTAAAAAAAATTAACAGCATGCATAAAAGCCAACAAAAAAGTCTGGCGTATGTGTCTGCACACCGAGCACCGCCATGTCCAGAGCACATGTCTCGGAGGAAGACTAGATCATTCCGACTTATCTATAACTTTCTGCATGGTCTGGATTTTTTTCAATAAACATTATTTTAATAATTAAAAAGGCACACGAAGCTATCTCCATTTAGGGCAAAAGCATCCAAGCTGCAGAGCCTCCCCGTCTCCCCTCGTCCCCTCCCTTGGCGCTGGCCACCCCAGCTTGCAAGAGCTTTGCCCTTCTTGGGAGCGTTCAGTGACTTAACGGCCAGACCAGTAAAAGCGTTCCCCAGGACGGGTTGCTCAGTGGAGGAAGAAAGCCAACTTTCCGCTAAGCGTTATTCACATTTCCTCTGGACTCTGGACGTCAGAGATCTAAAAATAAGTGCCTCCTGGGACGCAGGACCAGAGGACAAATGCCATTTCCTGATGTCCTGGCCTCTGCAGCCGCTCGGGGAGTGGGGCCAGGGGTGTTACTCGGAGACACACGCGAAGGCTTGGCGAAGCCTCCACTCCTTTTACCACACTCGGGGAGGTTTGGAACACAATTTGTTCCCTGTCTCAAATGCGCTCCTAAGTCACGCTCACAACTGGCTACGGAAAGCACCAGCTTGAACCTAAAGACATTGTCCCCAATCCCAATGTGGCTCAGTCCCAGGCGAGGGCAGACACCACACAAGTGTGACTTAGAAGAAGAGAGCCCGTTGCTTCTTTTGTCATCTGCAAAGTCGTGAGAAACTAAAGCAGTCACGCTGGCGATGACAATGGCGCTAAACGCGGGATGCAGGAAAGTGCTCAGGGAATCATCACGGGGTGTCCCAGAAAAGGTCCCCTGAGGAGGTGACCATGGAAGCTGAGATGGCGCATGACACAGAGGCCATCACGCATGCTCCCAGCTCCTGTGGGCCCCAGGTATCTTCATGGGATTCATCGACATAGATGGATATGTCTGTCCATGGAACCCACACAGCAGGCACCGCTGTGTCCCCTGATGCAGATGAGGAAACTGAGGCTGAGAGGAGAGGACTTTACCGCCCAGCAGTAGGCAGGGCCCCTCTAAGGAGCCTCCATTGGGAGCACAAGGCCGGTGCTCCTCTCTGGCACCAACGCTGCGTGCCTGGACAGCAAGACGACATCAGCACTCCAGAAGTCACCAGCACCACCTTGACCCACAGACCAGTCCCCAAGACACAGGCCACTCTGCCAGAGGACAGGGCTCTGAGCGGTGCAGCCTGGTTCAGGACCAGCCTCCTGTGTATTCCCAGCTGTGTCACTCCCAGCTGGCTGACTTCTGGCCACCACTCAAGGCTACCTCAGGAGGAGGAGTGGGAGGAGATGGGCAGCAGTGCCCCGTTATCCGCACAGATGCACAGACACAAGGACCTCGGGGGCAGCAAGATAGTTAGGAAGTCATCCTTCTGTCACCAGAGTGCCCTTCCTTGCCTTGTGTTTGAGCTGATGGGGCTTGACCCCTCGGATCCCCCTGGACACAGGAATGGAAGTAAGAATCAGAGTGAAGGGACCCTGGATGCCACCCGCTCCTCTGCCTTCAGTTCCCAAGTGATGGACCTGAGGCCCAGAGAGGAGCAGTGAGAGGCCCATGGCTGTGCAGTTCATGAGACATGTCACTGTGGTGGCTTCCGGGCCTCGTGCCCTGCCCACCCTCCTGTCCTCTGAGCCAGCAGCCTGTCCTTCTCAGGGTCTCTCTGAGGCTCATGCACGCTCTCCCTCTGTCTGAGTGCTGGGGAGGGAGCCGTGCCTGCAGATAGCTGAGAGTTTCCACTCGGGGAACAGCAGAGCAGGGGCATCCTGACCAGTGGTGACCAGAGGGTCAAATCCACCTGCTGTGTCAGTGGAGAGCTTGGAGGAGTCACCCTGAGAACAGCACCCCTCCTTGCAGGCAGCAACCTTCTGCTGGCCAGGGCAGCCTTCTCAGGAGCTCCAGATGTGCGTTCTGGCCTGGGCCTCAGCTCATGCTCAGCTTTCTTTTAGAAATGTCCTTCCTCCTCCAAATCCTTCTCCAAGCTCTGGTCACCTCCTCCAGGAAGACTTCTGTGACTACACAACCTCGAGCGAGCTCTTTCTCCTCCAAACACCTCTTCCTTCTCTATGACTCTTCCCTACTCCCGTGGCTCCCCCTCTCCTCCCCTCTCTTTCCATGAGCACTCGGGGAGTGTGAAACCTGAGCCCAGGTTAGCTTCAATACAGTTTTACCCACCCCCTCCGTGTCTGGGGTCATTAAATATTGCTCTCTTCCTCTTCTCCATCTGGCAAACTCCTATTCACTCTCCAAAACCCCAGGTCCAATGTCTCCCTCCCAAACACTCCTGAACAAAGCTGCAACACACTCTTCCTTGCTTCTGTCATCATCATTCACAAGAATTTACTGGGTGCCAACATGGAGTGAACCCCTGATACAAGGAACAGCACACCAAATAAAACAGAATCTGGCCCGGGCCCCAGCTCTCGACCCTGGAGGTGAGTGACAACTGCTTTCACGATTATTTGATTAAGGCCTCTGTCGGAGGGGCACTGACCCCTCCCTGTGTGCCAAGCGCTTCACGTACACCATGCCACGCAGACTCCCTCATGTGGAGAGCACCAGTGTCGTCCTCTGGAGCCTCCAGATGTCCTCCTGATCGCCTGTCCCTGTGGGTCTGCACCCTCGGAGTGGGGGGCACCCAGCTCACCCCCACTCTGCCACTCCCTTCTCGCTCTATTTCTCTGCTTGGCACTCGAAAGCTGAACACACTACCCATCTTTCCTTCCCCTCCCATCCATCCTCTGCTGCCCCCTCTATCCTGTGAATTTCCCAGGCAGGGATCCATTGTCTGGCAAGCAGTGCTAATCAAAGCATATTTGCAGAGAGGAATTCATCTCTCTGTCTTTATGGATGAACTTGTTGGAGCCCAGAGATGTCAAGTAACTTGCTTGAAGTTACACAGCTGGAGAGCAGCAGAGTCTAGAGATTCAAATCCAACCACTGGCTCCCGTGCACATGCTCCTTACCACTGGCTATCTTGTGTGGTCATTTGTCCCCTACTGTCTGCCCACCTTTGAGGGTGGGAGCTGCTGTCTCCTTCATCCTGCAGGACCCCCCACAACCCTTCCCCGAGTAGTTTGTGCTAAGTGTTTCCTGCAGGAATAAGTCACTGGGTGAATACACAACTGTATTTCCTACCTGGGTTACTGATGGGAGGGGCAAACTCCCAGCTCTAAGTTCCTGAACCTGTTAGTTAGGCACCGCTCTGAGGAGGATGGATGCCAGGCAGCCAGCCCGAGCGAGGAGCATAGCTTTTGCCTCCCTGCTGGCAGCAGGGGCCTTTGGAGGGTGCTGAGTCCACCTGCCCATCACACGCCTCTGACATGCTCGGATAAGAGAGACCCCCACCCTGCCACACCTGGGGAGCCCCCACAGGAGAACACAGCTCTGGGGGAGCGCTGGCCTCCCTCTGCCTCCCTCAGCAGAGCCTCCCGGCCTCCCCACCCGCACTCACGTGGGGCTTCTCGGCCAGCCTGGCGGGCAGTGCCCGCTTCCAGACGTCCTTGGCAGAGCTGGCCTGGAGAAGCAGCAGGAAGCCCAGAGTCCAAACCCCGGTCCTCATCCCCCAGCCGAGAGAAGGCATTTCCTCTGGGGCCAGCGACCTTGCAGACACTTGGGGAGGCGGGGAGGGGAGGGAAAGGAGGGACCCTCGGGCTGGGTGGGGCCTGCAAGTGAAGCAGAAGTGTGCCGCTCTGCCAGGCTCTTAGTTCCCCTCAGCTGGGTCCTGGGACCCTGTGTCTTACCCAGCACTTGCCCCCTCCATGAGGGCCAGCTGAGGGTTATTTTTAGCTCCCCCTATATCCTCTGGTCCTGGATGCTCTGGTGAGCAGAGCCGCAGCTCAGATGGCTGTGGGCAGGGGAGGAGGGGACACTGGGCGGGCTGGCGACGTGGCCGGGAGGGGCCCTGCCACTCTGCAGTCTCCCTCACAGGCTGGGCGGCTCAGCGACGACGGGAGGACGGGAGGGGGGTGACCTGTCTGTCGGTGGTGGCGTTGATGAGCAGGATTTGCGGTGAGAACACTCGCCCTTGACTCGGCTTGATGTGGGTGTGTGGAAAGCCCCTGTCACAGTGTGCCTCTGTGAGTGCTGAGTGAGGTGGTGGACATGAAGCACAGTTTGACATTTGTAATCAGAGTGCTGGAGGTGTCCACAGGTACATGGGTGTTTTTAACACTCAAAAACTAACTCGAAAGTTAGTGAGACCCTATCTCAACAAACAAGCCAGGTGTGGTGGCTCACACTTGTGAACCCAGCTACTCAGGTAGAGACAGGAGGGTCATGGTCCAGGTTACCCCAGTTATCTGAAAAATAACTAAAGCAAAAAAGGGCCAGAGATGTGGCTTAAGTGGTAGGCCACCTGCCTAGCAAGTGTGAGGCCTTGAGTTCAAACCCCAGTGCCACCAAAACAAACAAAACCCAGACTCCATTGTCTGTTCCCACACCCTTGGTACAGATGCTGTTTTGACACCACTGCTGGCCTGAGGTCACACGGCCATGCACACGCAGGCTGGGACCCAGGCCCATCTAACCACTAAGGTGACCACAGGGGATCCAGCAGGGGCTCTGCTCTAGAATGCAGACCTAGAGTCCCAGCTTTGCCTCCAAGGGTCTTTGGGATACTGGAAACCACTTCTGCTCACTCATGGCCCTTGGTTCTCCCACGTGAAATGGGCTTAGAAGCACCTGCTTATAGGGCCACAGTGGGATCCCAGGAGCTGGGCCATGCAAGCGTGTGGACCCCATGAATGTTGGCTCCCTCCTCTCTGGGCTCCTCTCCCTCCAGGGCAGCCCCAGGACCCCTGCTGGACCTCCCCCCCCACGCTTGGTGGCGGCTGATAACAGAAGCAAATGGAGCTAGCCAGTGTGTCAGGCACAGTTTGGAGCCTGTTTCACCTTTCATTGTCCTTAGTCTTACATTCGCTCCAGAGACAGGAATTGTGACATCCTTGCACAGAGAGGCTGAGACACTTGCCATGAACATAGGCTCTGAAGTTCACCCCAGAGCCACGGGAGGCACATGCAGGGGCAAGAGTGAGCCTCTCCTGAAATTTGCATCCTGGAGGCCTCACCTGTCTCGCCTTAGTCCTGGCCCTGGTTGTTCCCAGCCTAGTTCTAGAATATCTATTTGTGGAGCCCGGTGGGGCCTCTTCTCCTGAAACGCTGATGTAGAAGTCAAAAGAGCCACAGAGGTGGAGAGAGTAAGTCCCCCACCAAGCAGGACAACCTGGAACAGGACTGGCCTGCTCTGTGCCTCGGTTTCCTCACCTGTGAAAGGATATGGAGTAGGAAACTGCCCCCCCAGGGGCCGTGGTGGGACTAGAACCCAGGGCCCTGAGCCAGCTGGCTGTTAGGATGCCGTCCTGAGCCGTCCTTTCCTGGGCTTCCCCAAGGCTCACCCTGTGCTCCAGCAGAGCCCAGCCGAGCCAGGCTCCCCGTGGGAAACTTCCCACTCCCCCTTCCCTGTGCTGCCAGACTGCATTCTGGATGTCACACTCTTGGCTTTTCCTGTGTCTCTCTGTGGGTGGCCGCATTTCTGCCTTGAGCTCCTCCCCTCCCTCTGGGCGATGACATATGACACTGGCCTGACCTCTCTCAGCCTCATCCCTGTGGCCAGCAAGGGGCCACGCCTTTGCCCTGGTGTCTCCCTGGGCCTGGAAGCCTCTTTCCCAACAAAGGCACTGCCACCGACACTCCTGACCTTTGCTTGGACACCACTTTCCCAGGGCGGTCATCCCTGACCCCAGGACTTGGAGGTAGTTCCCACACACACAGCCAGGACTCCTGATGGCCACGTGGCACTGCAATTCCTCCTGTGACCCCCAGGGGTGCGCTGCTCTGCTCTGTGCTCACTGGGCGCTGTTTCCCTTTACTGTCTGTCTCTGGGCTGCTTTTTTGTGGGGGAGGGGGTCTCTGTCCCCTCTGGGAAGACACCAGGGCCCTAACCAGTGCCCATGCAGAGCACACTGTCAGCAAATTGGGCTGAATGAACACGTTGTGACAGACACATCTCATCTGCTGCTGGAGGGGTGGTTGGGAACCCCCGCCCCCTACCCACACCAACCAGCAACACACAGTCGAGCCACTGAACCCCTGACACTGCTCCAAATAGAGATCCGTCCTCCACGTAAAGTACGAGGAGGGGAAAGACTCGGGGAAAAAGGAGCAATTCCCAAAGTCTTATACTGAACTGCTGAAGTCCAGGCCTTACTGGGTTAAATAGGAACCACTGTTACAGCAACCTGTCCACTTTCCCCGTCTCACAGGGCCACTGGAGGGTTACATTCTGTTTTCACCTAGCTGAACTGGTTGGTCTGAGACCTCAACTCCCTCCCAGCCCTCCTTGCTCGGGCTGTGACCCAGCTCCAACCTGGATCTCCCTGGCTTCCATCTCCATATCTGGTCTTCAATTCAGAATTTTTAGAAAGTTAATGTACGTGAGGCGGGCTTGGTGGCTCATGCCTGTAAGTCCAACTACACAGGAATCAGACATCAGGATTGCCGTTGGAGGCCAGCCCAGGCAAAAAGTTAGAGAGAGGTCATTTTGGCCAATAATAAAAAGCTGGGTGTGGTAAAACACACCTTTGATCCCAGCTACACAGCAAGCATAAATAGGAGGATGGTGATCCAGGTCACCCTAAGCAAAAACACTACACCCTATCTTAAATCAACCAAATTAAAAAGGGCCTGGCCGTGGGCCAAGTGGTAGAGCTCCTGCCTAGCAAGCACAAAGCCCTGAGTTCAAACCCCAGTACAGACAAAAATAAAGAAAAAAAAGTTAATGTGTGTGTGGTTTGTCTCATAAAAGCAGAAAAAGATGAAACAATAAAATGAAATCTTTAAAATATCTGTTTCCAATATCTTTAGCTACAGAGGTGTGTGTGTGTGTGTGTGGGGGAGAGAGAGAGAGAGAGAGAGAAAGAGAGAAACATGATGGAGGTCAAGGTTGAAGTCAAAGTCAAGGCTGAGAACAAGGCTGAGATGGCTATGTTAAGAAGTGTTAGAATACAGGCTCTGGACCCAGCTAGCTGGGGCTAAACCCCTGCTCTGAGACCTCCCAGCTGTGTGACCTTGGCCAAGTCACTACCCACTCTGTGCTTTGGTGCTCCCATCTGTAAAGGTGGAGTAATAGTATAGCTGTCTCACTGAGTTGTGTGAGAGTGGAGTGAGCAGGATGTACAAGACAGTCGTGCAGTCATCTCCGTCCTCCTCTGGCCATGAATTTGTTGAGGCCAGGGCTGTGAGTGTCCATCATCCATCCCTGAATCTCACTGGGAAGTGGACAGGACCTCCTCATTGAGCAATGTCTACACATCCGGCACGGTGCTGTGCTCCTTGTGCCACCAGCTGCCACTTCTCTTCATCTGCCTCACTCTGCTCTGGATTCTTCCTGGACAGCTCCTACCTCCGGGCCTTTGCACTGGCTGTGCCCCCTGCCACGTGCTCTCTCCCCAAATATCTGCCTGCCAGTGCTCCGTGAGACCCCCTTCCACCATGCTTGAGTGCACCACCCCAAATCCCAGTCCCCATACCCTGTTTGTCCCCGTAGTGTTGTCACTTGAAAAGACCAGGACATCCTCTTATTGTGCTCATTATTGTGGCAGACAGAATAATGGCCATCCTAACCCCAGGGCTGTGAACATGTGACCTCACATGAACAAAGGGACTTTGCAGATGTTACTAAGTCAAAGGTGTTGAGATGGGAGAGAGAGGGGCAGCGAGACAGAGACAGAGACAGAGACAGAGACAGAGAAGAGAGAGGATGACTGGAAGATACACATTATGGTTTTGTGGGTTTTGGTTTTTTTATTTTTAGTACTGGGGCTTGAACTCAGGGCTTACACCTTGAGCCACTCCACCAGCCCTTTTTTTGTGATTGGGTATTTTCAAGATAGGGTCTCATGAACGATTTGCCCAGGCTGGCTTTGAACATTGATCCTCCTGATCTCTGCCTCCTGAGCAGCTAGGATTACAGGCGTGAGCCAGTGGCTCCCGGCTACACCATGATTTTGAAGGTGAAGGAAGCAGCCATGAGCCAAAGGATACCGGCAGCCTCCAGAAGCTAGAAAAGCCAGGAGCCAATGCCTCCGCGTCCCCTGTACCCCACCCCCACTCCAAGCCACTGGAGGAAATTGGCTCGAGTCCCTCCCCACTGGCCTGTAACCTAAGAGCTATAAGGCAGCAGGTTTGTGCTGTTTCGAGCTGTGTGTGGTCATTTATTTGTCCCAGCAGGGGGGAAGGAAGGACCCCCAGGTCAGCTATAGGCTCTGCAGGGTCAGGCGTCTGGTCTTTTCTTATCTGCACCTGGCACCTGCTCTGGTGAGCTCTGGATGTTACCCAGATGGACTTGACCTTCACGATCCTACATGGAACCTACATGGAACCAGCCTTGCTCTGTTCTGCATGGACACGGGTGGTCGCAAATTTTAGGTTATTTTCCAAAGTGCAGGGAAGAACTGAACACTGGTGTGCCTTCCTCCCTGACACCACAGGGCCAGGCGTGCTGACCGGGACACCAATTCCAGCGTGGCATTTGGACCAGAGGAGGCTAAGGTGCTCAGCTGTCACTGGCAGTGACTTCCTCACAGCTTTAACTTTCCAAGTGGCCTTAAGTCTTCAAGAGGGGAGGGCACAGGCAGGGAGCAGCAGATTGGGTGGAAGGAAAGGCCCCAGGAGGAGAAGTAAACACAGGACAAATCTGCCCGGGGAAGCCGGCTGCTCCTTTGATCAGGA